TCTCAGCATCCATCATCGACCACCACGCGTATATAAATGCACACAGAAGATAGTGCCATCGAAAAAAAGCTGCTCCGAAAAGAAGAAGAAAAAAAAAAAATAAATAAGATCAAAGGGCGCCAGTAGATAAAGCCAAGAGACGCGCCGGCGGGGACGAAGGCGTTTGACAGATGTCAACGCGCCGGCCGGTGCGTTTGCCGTGTCCCTTTTGCCTGCCGGGAACGCTTATACCTGCAGGATCGGAGTATCACACGCAAGCACGCATGCATATAAATATACAGGTACAGAGGTGCGCGCTCGCGTTAATTGGCCATTTAAATATCGTCCGTGCTTCCGACGCGACGCTCGGTGCGGCAGGAGAGGCTACCGCGTTTACGCACCTATATACATATACCGGCGCGGTCTCGCCTGCAGGTGCAGTGCTTGTGTATGTATATATATATATATATATATTTATTTATAGCGTCGCCTCTCTCTTTTTGCGCCACGAGGCGAGCGAGCCTGTCCGACTAAGTATATCTCCGTCTCTCTATCTTCCTTCTCTCCTTTTTGCACTCTGTTGTCGATGGTGTGAATTCTTTCGAAATTAAGGTTGTTTTGACAATACAACTGATGCAGTGGTTGTAATTTCATACGGAATAGCCAAGTTTTTTTCTTTCAGTCCATTCAAACGCTTGAAATCGGGAAACACGGCCAAGTGGTCATCTCCAGCCTTCCACGTCCGCCTCGTCTTTACTGTCCTTTCTACCCCTTTACCTCCTAGGACGCGCTTATCGATTTGTGCGTTGATCGTGAAGATCATCAATGTAAACCATCACCACTTGTACGTGTTGGCACTTGCGAGTCGCCGTGATTCCGCCGTCGATCTCGGTGGTCTCTTGGCTAGCGCGCGACCCGATCGGTAGCCTTCATTTTTCAACTTTTCCCATCTGTTCGGGGATCCGTCGAAGGAGAAAAAATAATAAAAATCCAAGGGTAATATGCAGACGTAAGACGGTGGAAAAGCTCGAAAATCGGTTCAGCCATCAGAGTCGCTCGCCTTTCGAATTAGCCAACACGCGGACTACTCGGAGCTAATCGTACCGAGCGCCCATAAATCCCAGCGCAATCTGTGGAATAATCGCGGGCGCGCGCGCTCGGTATGAAATAATGCAACGCGTCCGAGAGAAAGAGAGAGAAACACACTGTTGCGTTCACTCGGGGGACAGGTAGGAGATCGGTGGTGGGGGCAGCAGTGCAGTTTCGTTCTCGCGGCGTGTTCGGTCGTGACAATCGCGAGATCGGCAAAAAATCGGGCCATTAAGTCTCTCGCGCGCTCGGGCCGCTGACAATATATTATCCGCGAGAAGATGAAGTGGAGCCGACAGGTGACGCGAGAAAAACACCGCTTGGCGTCTAACGCGCGGTCACGGGAATCGGGGGAGCCTCGGGAGTGAAAGGTTTGGCGAGCGCGCGTGTGTACATACGAGGTTGTTGCGGGGAAAAAAAAAAAAAAAAAAAATGGATAGAGTGTGGCAAAGAGCGAGGAATGGCTCTCGATCGGAAAGGTCGAATCGATTGGCCGTAATTAAGTGGCGATCCGAGGGATTAATGGCCCGTCGATTCTTAATGTACTTGTGTGAGAGAATTTTTAAAGAAGCCGATTTTTGAAGCCTCCTCTAGTTGTTCACCTCATACCGAATTTGATGGTACAAGAAAAAATTCCTCTCATGATTCATCGTCATAGAAATCTTGTAAATTTACGTTATTTCCGATGTTTCGGACGAAAAAAGCTGAATCATCACAAAATTGATAAACATGTTTTGCACGCGATTCGGCGAAAATTTTCATCTTGCTTTTGACAGAGATAATGGTACACTCGCGTAATCGGTGTCTCTTCTTCTTTATACGAAAAACACACAAAAAAAAAAAGAAAACATTTTTCCTTGTTTTTTTTTTTTTTTTGTTGAAATTTATAGATTTCATAAGTTGATATATACTTACCTACGAAAAAACATGTATGAAAAAAAACTAGACAGTTAAATCCTGTGCTCGTAATTATTCCCTGTCAAACTATTGGAGTACTCTGAGTGCTACAGTTACCGTTAAAATTTCAATATATTACATCTTCCACAAACCTTTCAGAGTGTTTTTTGTAAAAAACGTTTAATTCCTTAATTGAACACGGTTTAAAAATAAATAAAAACGAAATCATTTCTTTCCTAGTAGGTATACTATTCATCATAAAAAAACTGATTTATGAATAGCTAAAATTCCGGAAAGTTACATACATATATATATATTTTGCCCGTTATCGGTGTAAGTCATATCGGAATTACGATTCATAGGAAATAAGTCATTAATAACCCATTGTGCTCGAAAAAAAATTATTGTATTGGTTGGAGTATTCACCTTTTTCTTTAAAAAACTACTCATCAGTAGAAAATCACTGCTGCTGTTTGACATATACTTACTTGACAACGTCAAAAATGAAATTCAAATCAGTCAACCATTTACCCATTACATATATAGAGCTGCTTCTGCCTCAATTCTGTACGAACTACTTCGACTTGTACAGGCAAATGCAACTCCGTAGTCTCGCGTTACCCCAACGTTTAAACACAGATGTAATAGTCAGCGCGTGCGTGTACCTTTATTCTTAAAAAACCTTCAACAACTGTAGTTTTCTCGTGCACTGAAAGATTGCCATCGACAGCCATTTGAAATTCTAATGGGGAAAGCTACGTACACTCGTATCACCATCCGAAGTCTACATACCGGAGTCAAGTCGACGAGGATCGGCAGCAGCCGAGCCAAATGGCTCCGTCTGTCCGGGAATAGCCTTCTGAAAAACGGAACCTTGGACTGCATGGTATCCCCGGAAGGGGGAAACTACCCTCGCGTCCTTTTAACGACGCGCATTCAAATCATACGAAGCCAAAACTGTTGTCCGATCCGCTGGCACCCAAACATACGCGCAAATGGCAGGGTACAAAGAGAAAAATCCCGCTGATGCTCGTCGTGCCCTGCGACGACGTATTTATTACGCGTACAAATGGACATTCGTAGGGGATTTATGGGCAGAGCTTATTGTGCATACACGCGCGGAAGGGGTGGCCGGAAGAGGAGCGTGTACAAAACACACTTTTGGCTCGGGGGATGGAAAAACGCCCCCCCCCCTCCGAAGGTCTCCCTTTAGCGTTGCGGACGCGAAAAGTTTCGTGCGTTTTTTACGATCGCGAGTAAATAAAATGACGCGCGCGCTGCATCGCCGAGCTTTACGAACGTCCAAGTGAATTTACTACGTGTGCAAGTGGAACGCATCGAGTTGACATTGTTTTTCTTTCTTTTTCGTGCGTGCGCGCTTTCCGATCGATCTTTTCTCGGCCCTCGATTTCGTACCACAGGCCCACAAACACTCTCCGGGAGCAAGGCCGATCTTTTGTCCAGCGCACTCTAATTGTGTAAAGGATAATTGCGAATTACTACGAGCTCGTCTGTCGTATTTTACTTATCTGGGAAAAACATTGATTGAGCACGCAAGTGGCAGCAAAAAAAAAATTATCATGGAAATATAACAAAAAATAGAGAACACACGTGCGTATTTTATATGGGGATGTACAGCAAAGCTCAGCTAGAAGGGCAATACTGTATAAGTAAAGTTGAACGTTTTATCTTTCCTCGATCGCCCGTGGCTTTCGAAATTTTAGATCACTTCAATTTGTATTTTCTGCATTTCAGTATTAGCCAATTGGTACATTGTATATACACGTAAGGTACAAAATATATATATGTGTCATGCGTGTACTTTGATCAAGCAGTTGAAACACGAAGTGTACATTGGGAGTTAAGTAATAGGTAAAGGGATTGGCACTTAGTGGGACTGTGTATGCATCAGCTTCGTGTACATGGATGAAGTTGTTTTTCGCGCGGAGACGTGGGTAATGTCCCATGTATGTGCACTGCTACCTTAAACGTGCGTGTACAATGCAGCAAATATTTTTTCGAAGGTTCAGGGACGAAGTGGTTGTTTATTTCTGTCTGTGTGTCGCATGTCGTAGCGGAAAGTACACTTGCCTATATTTTTCGGTGGATGAACATTTTTAGAAAGTTTAAATATAATTTTTGTGATAAGGATGACCCCCGTACGCGTTACTTTTATACCTAGCTATCTAAGTTTATCGAAGACTTGCCCGCTTTTTTCGTTACAGTGACATTGTTTAAAAATGTTTTTATCACTTCAGTCTAACAGTAATGCCACCCAGTTTAGTGACGTTATTTATAATTGGATGAATCGTCAAGTCCTTTAAAAATCGTGAGACTCGCGTTTCACCTGTTGATTCATGTTTTAATTTGAGGAGTAAAAGCTATTTCATTTCAAAGTGTAATCACCCAAAAAATCACCATTGAGTTTGCAAAACACATTTTTTTATCCAGAGGTAACGTATGAGTGAAGTATTTATTAACTTTCGTGCACGTCGTCGAGTTTCTAAATAAACTCAACGAGTTACTAAACTAATTATTAACTCAAGTATAATTTACTTTTGAGGTATAGCAGCCATTACTATCTTTTTTTCTTTTTTCACGAGATATTTTTGATTTACATGTATATTTATGTATTTGAATGAAAAAATGTAACTACATATTTTTCCACCGACATAAAATACTTGAAACACCGAAGCTACCAACCATTGGCTCTTTGTATCTCATTTTTTTCGACAAAACAACGACTACGCCTAGTACTTCCACACGAGTTCACAAAAAATAAACTCCCAACTAAAAAATATACGTACAATCTGAAAAATTCACTCGTCACTCCCTTAATCAACGCGTTATTTATACATAATATATGTATATTATTCTCTCAACGCAGAGATAGCAGATACCGATGAAATGTATATTCCCGCAAGATATAGTGCACGTATATATAATATGTAGGATAAAGTATACAACATAGCCGAGGTACGGCTAAAACGTTGTACTCGGATATTTATATTCCACGCACGTGTGTGTGCTTACAGAGCTCGAGATTACATGCCCCCGAGGAGCGCGGCACCGCTGGAGCCGCAACAGCAGCATAATGAAGCTAACAGCTTCGCCAAGACCATCGTCGTTGGCCCCTTCATTGCGAGCTCTCTGGATCGCTGGCTTTTTACTCGCTTCTCTGCGAACATGCGACGCACTCTCCGAGAGCATCAAAGGTGAGTTTTGCCCCCATTTTCTTTTATTGTTGCTCGGTATATCTCGCGCAAACTCATCCCACAATTATCTACAAAATCACAAAACTAACGAGCAAAAAATGTACCTATACACGCTCGTCACTGAAAATATTGGAACGTGATCGTGACGTGCCACAATGACAAAGCACGTGCCGATGGCTGCGCGGCTCGACAAATGCATGGTCCAACACGCCCGAGCGCGCTTATCACCATTAGGTACACATGTACATAACATATATATATGCATCAGCTCGATTATTAGCATAACTGTGTACATACATGCTGTTATCACCCATTATTACTATCATCATATTGTTGTTGCTCCCGTCAAATCGATAAGTGCACGCACTTACGGAGCCGATATCGCTGATATAATGTATTGGGCCATTGACATACGTTCGGTTGTGCATCTGCCGATTTTTTCACCCCTTTCTCGGGACGCACTCTTGCTGATCAAACTCGACGCAATCTCGCATTTAGCGTCGCGTATGTACCACAATGCGAGATTTACGATCCACCCAAGTCGCGAATCGTGCAATCGTAACGTGACGTATACGAAATTGAGGGAACGTGTATGACGCGCCTAATGTAACCGCTGACCCGAACGCAAAATATGACTAGTAGGAGGGACGTTTTTTTTTTTGTTTTGTTCCTTTGACATCACTTTTCTTCTACATCCGTATCCAGTAAGATGTTTGCACCACCGCGTGTACATACTGTTGAGCGGTGAACGTGTTTGCACGTACGGGACAGGTGTGCATGTGACTTGTTTTCTTTTCTGGCAGAGATTCGAGTGCCTACTCGTGCGCGCACTACTGTTGTGATAATTTTCATTGCGACACGCCACTGCTGCTGCTCCTGGATTTAATGTCGGATGGTTATTTTGTGCTTACAACGGCTCTCGTACCGCATGGTATGCTCGGGTTTTCTCGTTACGTCAGATCTCGGCCCGCTTTTCTTTTGTTCAAACAACGATATCGCACATTTGCTGGAAAATCACGGGTGTACAACATATACATGCTTGTGTCTGCTGCTCGAACGAACTTTTGCGTCGTCATGCCGATCTTATTGGAGTTGAAAAATTATCTGCTATTGGAAAAAAAAGGGAAAAATATTAGTTGTGTTCGTTTGCCCGTTTACGCAGTTGTGCGGTGATGTTATTCTTCGGCCGTTTGCATTATCGTGGCTTTGATCTACATCGAGCCCATGTATACCTTTAAGCCTCGGAAATCTCGTGGATCGCTCTTATTGCCAACTTACTACAATACAATAAAATTAATTTCTTTTTCGTGCTGCAGAAATAAGGTGTAGATACGACTTGTTTTGTTCGAACAAAAACAAAAGCAAAAAAAAAAAAAAAAAATAGGCATTCATTTTCCTCATTAGAAAGATCAAGTTCGTTATCTGAACAGGTACATGCTGACAGGTGTTGTTGGCATTCGTCAACTTACAATTATTATTTCACCCTGTAGATATATAAGTGCGATTTTTAAATCGAATTTTCCAACTAATTGGTAATTACTTTATCTGTCACGTGACATACTCACATGCAGGAATCACATAAATCTTTCGAAAACATGATACCTAATTTTATTATACTCTAATGGAACTTTCAGAGCCAAATGTTACATTATCCCTTTTACTTACATTTACAATTTTAAACTTATGCTGATCTACTCTTAACAGATCAATTTGGAAATTCAAAAACCGTATTGTCATTCTTACTTCTTATATGTAAACAATGTGTGTTATGTACCCGTGATATGTATCTCTGGACAGCTTTTCTTACGCAATTATTGTTTCTCCTTTAAAGAGTTTTTTTATATCTTTATCGGTTATGGAACTGTTCTCTAAGCAGTTTGCCCATATAATACGTAAAAAAAAAGTATTTTAACGCTACTACACAAATTTGCTTATTTCATAAGATAGTGGTGTACCTTGCATCGCACGTAAAATGCACAATATACACAAGTGGCCAATTGACATGTGTTAAACGTACCTGTGCTATCGAATTCGTCGCTAATTGGCTCGAGGATAATTGAGTGTTTTCGCCAAGAGAAAGTGTTCCCTCGATTTGAGCGTGTGCGACGTGGAAAATCGCAGTTACGAGAAACTAAAAGACGAAGGGAGGGAGCGGGACTTTACGCGCATTAGCAAGTACAGTTATACGATACGATTCGACCGAATATATATTGCTGTTTATTTTAATTGACCGGCTATAATGACTTTATTACACCATATCTTTGCAAAAAAAAAAAAAAAAAAAAAAAGAGAAAAACTTCTCCACATCGCATTTGCATGTGCGTAAGGTGGCTTTTTTCCAGCAAACCGAGGATTATAGTGTACGCTAGCACGGCTGATTGACGATGAAATATACATATATATTTTAATCGATAAACGTTACGAGCTCGATGTCTTTATGTAAGGGAAATGCTTTATGATTCCAGTTTATTATAACGTTACAGCGTGTTACTGTTCTGGTCGATGGTAATTTTTACTGCGATCGTAATTTACGATCAAAGTCGGTTACGTTTTTAAAATTTGAATGTTGCACGCAGTGGTTGAGCTTACCTTAATATTTGTCAATCAAAAAAAATGGTGTCTCTTAAGCTCTCCCTCGCAGTTACGGGGTGTCTCCGCAAACAAGTGCTGTTTAGGTCTTTGTTGTCTTTGTATATTGGCATCGTTGTAGTCATCAAACATTTGGCGTTAAAACTTACGAAACGACATTTCGAGTTGAAATAAATTATTTGATATTAAAACTGTGTATGTTCACTTGAAGAGATTGTGCTACTCTATAGATATATTCATCTGATAGAACAATACAACCAAGGAGTAAAACACAAATACGGAACAACAAGTGATAGGCGTTTTTTTATGTGACGTCGAGAACTAACGTTAAGTGGTTACAGTTTTTTTTTACTCAAAAAGAAAATTGGAACGTAACAGATCTATTTGGGTCCCGATTGATTATTGTTGAGCGAGTTAAAAATCCTCTACAGTGCATGTGCTATGTCGTTCCTTTGCATTATCCTTTGTTATTCAAAGAAATGCATAATATTCAAACCCACCTCATTTTTCCGACGTTTTTAATTGTACGTACAAAATTGAAGAAGCCGAATTTTATTGTAATACCATGTCTCTGTGCGCGTAGTTTAGTCTCTTAAAAGCAACGTTAAACCGATGAAAATATCAATATCAATCGGATACAACTAACGGATGGGATACCGTCTTGTTTATTGCCCAGCAAAAGCCCCATTGATTGCGGCCCCGCCATGAAATCACAGCCATATCCTTCAATTACACGAGAAAACTCTTGATGTACAAAAGCTCCCCACAACCCCCCTTTCCTTCCCCCAAAAACAGGAAGCAAGAAAAAATCCATCAAAGAGAATCGTACCATCCTCGTACGCGCGGGTACTGCTCCTCGTCAGTGAAACTCTCGATGGAGCTATTCTCGAGATGACTCCGAAATAAAAGACCGTAAGAGAAGTAGGAAAAGGGTGGGCAGAGCGGGAGATACGAGCGTTGATTTTAGTACCCCTAATCTCCCCTTGTGGAATCCCCTGTTGGAACACGTACTCGCATCGAGAGGCCGATGAGTCACGTTGGCGAGAACAGAACGGAAATAGTGCGAGCGAATATGTTGCCGGCCTTCTTGATTTTTCGTACATACACACGAGCTTTCAAAGGCAGAAAGGGACGATACATGGGAGGGGCATTAAACACGCGGTGACTCGTCGAGGAAACGGAAAGTGCGAGGGTGCTCCGATGACGATGATGTGGTGGTGCCTCCACGCAGTGCGATTACGTTTTGTTGCTCGATGTCTTATACCCGTGATGACAAATCGCGAGCTAAATTGGGTTTCAGGCGTGGGGCTGTGATTCAAACGATTTAAATCTTTTTTTAATCACTGTTGAATCCTGCATGGTTTTTGAAATTTATACAAAATTCTCCAACAACATGGTATACCCTACATATACCCTAATGAAATTATATAACTTTGTTCGAAATTTTCGTACAATCCTCATGTCAGAAAATCGTTTCGATAATCATTGGGTCTTACATCACTTACGTAACAGACAAAACATTAAAAAACACTTTGATTATAACGAGCATAACATGAATAAAAATATTATATTTTTCAATGAAAATATTTATTCAAATCTGCCCGATATCAATTAAGCTTCATTAAAATCTCTGTTTGTAACGCGACATACCAAGAAATTTATCGTTCAGATATTACAAGATGTTTCTAAAATAAAAAATAAAAAAATCAGAGATTTTCCTTTAAATAACGTCACGAAACAGAGTTCGATTTGAGCAATTAGCCATTAATATGTAGTCACATGTCATGATTTTAGCTCTTACTATTGAAAAAGATAACACAATAAACACACACATATTATACTTAATAAGTAAGAAAATACACATGTTTTTTCTATTTAACATTTCTAAAATGTACATATTTTTTTTTTCATTTCTAGGTAGCCGAGAAACTTGCGAAGTCGAGGGTGAAGACTTCACCGTCGACAAAATACCAAATACCAAGTGCTTCAATTGTATATGCAAGGTGGGTGACATAATATACGTACCAAACTTTCAAATAACGTGCATGAGTTAATAAAATTTTTTAATCAACCCAAATTTTTTATGGTGACTCGATGAGTCTTATTTTGTAACAAAGCATCTCTTAAATACCACACTATTGACACTTACACGTAACCATCATCAAATACATCCCAACTTAAAAACATACGTAGCGTGAGAAAATATCACTTTAAGAGATCCAAATTGGTGTAATATATAACGTACAGCTTATACGCACTGCTGATACAATCTGATGGTCATATGAAAAAAGTTACGCGCCTCTTGCCCCGTATTGTGGCTTCAATAACAACTCTCGACTATTAACCGAATTCCTCGTATCATAATAATATATACACAAAGCAAACTACCTATATTTTGGACCCCTTAATACATATACGTACACTGACACATAAATAATATATAATAAGTACACGCGCATCATACGACGACTGTTCGTGACATAAAATCACACATTGCTGGAATTCTCGCAGTTCTATTTAGACCCTAAACATGTACACGTATAGGCATCTACACAATCCATCAATAAAACGTCCTCTTAAACTCACGAGCGAGCGATTCTGTAATTTAACGATGAAGATATGATCGCATACCGCACAGGGCCATCTGCTATGCTACACGTATATACTTTTACACTAAACTATATTATTGTGTACACAGTCCAATTTTTCCTAAGAAATATCAATTTGGATAACGTTTGCGTGTATATCAACCAAATACACTTCATTAATAATATTAGTATAGATGTGGTTCTTTCGTCTTGCACACTGAGAGAAGAAAAATATAATAAAACTTACTGTGCTAGAATGGTAATCTGGTGGTGTTCGGTCGTCTAGAGACTTTTTACTATTGGAACAATAATTTTTAGTGTTGAGAGCAGTAATTTTTGTTGTAAGTATAGTGACTTTTACTGTTTGTACGAGAGAAATTACTGTCCGGAATGGTAAAAATTAGGATGGCCAAAGTAAAAAGTCCCTAGACGGCAGAATGACACCAGATTATTATTCGACCACAGTATTTTTTTACATTATATTTTTCTCTCAGTGCATAGATCGTTTGAACATTACACGATAGTATCGATGATGACGCCTAACGCTGTAAAAAATTGTTCAAATGTAAGCAAAAGTTTTTCTAGTATTATATATCTACAAAGTTGCAAAGACTAGTTACGATAAGATCCAATTGGATTGTCCGTGACTCATTATGTATTCTTGCTCCGCCTAGATTTTAGAGCTGAGAATTGAGGATACGTAAGTTTTATGGCAATTCCATGGTTTTTCCAAATATCTTTATAACTAGCTTGATACAATAAATTTTTTTTCGATCGACCAACCTATATGTATATTGTCCCAATCGCAGCCTGTTCTTCTTACAACTTTAGGTTCGTTTAAAAGACACATGTACCACATATGTACGAGACGAGAGAAACGTCGTTTGCTTTTATGAGGTTTGATTACAAGGTGGGTCTTCAACCGATAGATGAATCCAACCAATTAACGACTCGTTTCATAAATTTTATGACTTGGCTATATCTAATATATGTAATTTAGTGTCTCTTTCTTCACGATGGCTTGTTCCCACCACGCATTGTAACAAGTTTCGTCAAGATTTTCACGCTTGTTAAACGCTCAACTATACGCTCTTACGTACCCATGACGTTTCCAAGGAGTCGAGCACTTTGAGACTCACTTTGAAATGTCGCCGAAAATTCCAAAGCTATATTTATTCCACACAGCTCGACTGAATGAAGCGAGAGCTTTACAGGGATATTTTCGTGTGCCTATATGACTCATGAGAGTACCAACCCGAGCAAAAAGACAACATAAATATAAACATGCAGTCACACAATTGAATTTTCTTATTAATTATTGGTATACCAGCTGTAATTTTTTTCTGTAAAAAAATATCATTCAGTGATGTTAATACACATAAGTAACGGAAAGTCTGAATCGTAAGCCGGTCTTGTGATGCCGTATAACTCTCGTTGGGGGTGGTTCTCTCCCTCTCCCTTGAGAAATATGAATCACACATCATCGTTCTTGTCATCCTCAGCTTCTCCTTTGGCTTCTATACTACCCTATACATTGTTCCAAAAAGTTTTCGTTGCTTTCACAATACTGTACATACAACTGAATTACTCGTGTGCATAATATACGCATTTTCATTAAAAAAAGACAGTGCGAATAAAAGAAGAAAAAAAAAAAAAGAACTACAAGTACACTTGGAAAACAGCAGCAACAACAGCAGACAGTAACGGCGCGTGTGACATAATTATTTGTTATTGCCGATCGATCATTCCCCCTCTCGGAGGAGCTCGAGCGATCTTGGCTCGTCAGCTGAACATCACGTGCGCGCGCCAGCAGTGGCCACAAGTATACATACGAGCTCGGTCGCGTTGTTTGAGAACAAACGTGGTGTTCCAGTTTAAGATTGTCGTACAAATACATTTTTTTCTTTTCTTTTCTTTTCTTTTTTTTTTTTGCTGCTGCTGCCGGTTTTTCTTACCGATCGCAATAAGTACACAAACTCGAGCGCGCGTAACTTCCGTCCGCTGATAATCAATCATATCCAGTCTAGACACACTTTTCTGGCTCTAAATACAATAAGAAGTATCAAAAGACGCTCGCAAGCTGTACATACAGCAAACGCGTGTTTCTGTAGGGCCGTTTCACGCGTGCCCGGACACTAAAATCCGAAAGAAAAAAGAGATCGTTGGCGCGAATAAATATTCATCTTTTGGATTCGAGAGCGAGCTCGTAATTACATACGAGCCGAGATGAAGCGGCAGTGGATGGCTCAAGGATGCTCGTAAAGCGATCCTCCTTTGCATTAACATCTAAATCGTCGCTAACGATCTCTCGATCTCTCTCTCTCTTTCCTCTAGCCCGTGTACTTATAAGTAAAGGTATATACGCGACGAACTCGTTAGAAACCACGCGAGAGTGCATACTTTGTTGGTAGTAGTTAAGGAAACCGATTCGATGTCGAATAAAGTTTAATCAACAGCATTTTCCTTGGGGGGTACACCAATAACCGCTTTCGTGTATTGTCGAAAGCAAAAATCGGTCCGAGTACCTATACGAGGATTAAAGTGAAACAACGCACGCGCTTGTACACACGCATACATGTATGTATAATCACGTTGTAATGTCCCACACGAGCAGAGCGTTTAACGATTCTTTCCTTGCAGAGGTCGCCGATCGAGGCACACACGTATATAGATACACAGGAGGGAAAGAAAGAAGAGGCCGCGTGGCCGATCATTAATTTACTTACCGATCGGCCGCGCGTGTATGCACTTTATGCGTGTATGTACAATCAATAACTGATTGCACTTGCTCGCTCTCCTTTTTTTTTTTTTTTTTTTTTTTTCATACATCCATCCGTGTATACGTGTGCACAACACACGCGAAACGAGGGGGCTATAATAGGCGTACACCGCTGCGGTATCTCGAGTGCGTTCGCGGTATTATTTAAGTGAGTTAAAGAGGAAGATAAAAAGTTTAAAAAAAAAAGAAAATATACGAAAGAGCCAGTGGGAGGGACGAGCGCGAGATATGTGCGCCTGAGTTGTTGATGTATAAAATATATATATATATGTATGTATGTATGTTGTTGGCTATTGCAGAACGGCTTCGTCGAGTGCCTGAAGCACCAGTGTCCGAGCATCGAGGGCTGTTACATGCTGCTGGAGCGAAGGAAGGACGACTGCTGCAAGAAGTGCAAAGGTACGTATTAGACGGCCGTGTGTATTTTTTACATGTATACGTATGGTCATGCCTGTACGCCTCGTATGACTCATTTCTGCACGTCTCTCTTTCCCTTACTTACTTGTACTTCTTCTTCTCCTCCTTCGATATCTTTTCTTTCTTTTTTTTCCGTTTATTTATACCTGTACGCGCGTTACGGGTCTTGAACTCCTGTTGTGATACCCGATGATGGAAAGACCAACGTATATCAAGCCAGCAGCACATATCGCGTATCTCGACAAAACAGTAAATGGCACATGGTTTGAGCTACAAATAAAACCTAAAAAAAGAGCTTAAAAAAAAATCACCTATCTTTTACTCGCACAATAGAGGTAACGAATCCACGAGCACACCACGAAGCAAACATGGAAAGAAAACTGAAGCAAAACGACACACGCGACGCAGCCCATCTCGGACCGGCAATAATTTTCCTCGCGATGTATAACCCACCGTACTTATATTACACATACACATAGAGTAGTCCTTAACAATGCGCCCATCACGATAAAATCCTATCAGGCGCCGCACGACCTGTCCGCTAATATACTCGCCGCTCGGCTTGACGGCAAATCGAGCCCCTCTCGTGTGTATATGAATCTCGAGGATACAGGATACATATATGAATACAAACAAACAGGCAAAAGTGCCGCGTGCAGGTGATGGTTATACGGGCGCCGTGAGAAAACGTCGGACTGTAAGTACACGTTGCGGCACCCATACATACACACCTGCTCGTAAGGGCAGCTCCTCCCACTCGACCCTGTAAAGTTGAATCACCACGCGCACGTTTGTATATTTATACGCCAAAGGGATGCTGATTTTCCCCTTCGCGCAGCTCCAAGCCGTTATCGTTGCATCGTTGCTCATTTTCATGTTATAGGTATACCTAATGTACTTTTATCCGTAAAGATTTTATTTTATTTTTTAGTTTCCTTCAAACACGTCCAAGACGTCGGAGCTTGGATAAATTAATTCGGTAAAACTACGACAAAAACAATATATTGTATACACAACCCGACTGTTCATATAATATATGGTATACATACTCACCGATACTTACACGTTGCTTACACGAAATCGGTATTAAATTTATCGAAGTTGCAGAGAGGAGTGCGCATCGATTATGCCAATTGTGACGTAAGATTTATAACTCCTCTTTGTTGCCCCTATGGCACGCACGTAACGTATATACAAACACACTGGCGTATGAGCTCTCTCTATCTATCTGGTTCTTCATGTTTTTTCCACCACCGCCTCCTCCTTCTCCTTGGGCACGTATTTTTATTCCTTTACCAGAGGGCATGTTTACCCTTTTGTCGGCGCGGGCAATGATAATTGTTTTTCCATTTGCGCTCGTTAGACGGTGACGCCTGTTCTTATAAATTGACAATCCATGCCGATTAAACTCGGTTTGATGAATCGCGCGTGTAAATTTTGCGCTGCAGCTGGATTACGTGGTAGTAAGAAAAAAAATAAAAAATAATAATACCATGGAACTGTTTCGTTTTGCAGGATGCGTGAAGAACAACGTGCACCGAGCCTCGGGCACCGAGTGGACGGAGCCGAGCGACCCGTGCAAGATATTCACCTGCAACGCCGGTGTCATCACGGAATCGAGCCTCCAGTGCTACGCGCCCTGCGCCAATCCCATACCTCCGGCTCCCGGCCAGTGCTGTCCCACTTGTGCAGGTTTGTTTGTCCACACGTGGGTTTTCCCACGTAAAAAAAAAATGATCACAAAGGAAATCGGAATTCACCCCCATATGTTACATGCTTCGCAGGCTGCTTTGTAAACGGGCAAAAGGTGACGGAGGAGCGGTCGGTCATGACTGCCGAGGATCCCTGCGTGACGTGCAAGTGCAACAACGGCCGGCTGACCTGCATGAAAAAAGCCTGCCCGGTCTTCCACTGCCCCCTGTCCAAGATCGTCCACCAGCCGGGTGAATGTTGTCCCAGGTGTCTCGGTAAGTCCATCCCTTCCCCAGCCCCCATCCCCACATTCGTAAGGATGTCGGTCGCTAATTGTGAGGAGGATCGCAGGGGACGGTAACTACATGTCACCGCCACGGGGTGCCTGCATGCTCGGGGCCCGGCTTCACAACTCGGGCTCGCAGTTCCAGCTGGACAAGTGCACCCACTGCTCGTGCAACGCCGGCTACGTAAGCTGCGCCAAGGAAACCTGTCCCGTTCTCGAGTGCAACAGCGAGTACCAGATCAAGCCCAAGGACCGCTGCTGTCCCATGTGCCCCCTCGTCGAGGAGTCCAGGGCATCCTGCACTTACGCCGGCAAAACTTACGGGGCGAGTATCACCGCGGGGGCTATTGTCTTGCTCATCCTACTGTTGGCCCGCCCCTAGGAATCCCGATGCTTGCGTTCATACGCTGCGATACACATTAAGAGAGATAGAGAGATTGTCGATTGCTTGTGCTTTGCTTGAGATTACTAATACATACTTGTATACGTACAAACTTTCATTTGGTATTATCACTTCACGCAATGTTAATCGAATCACATTACATCGCGCGTGTTGTACTGTTGGGCGAATAAACATACACGAGATAGTTACGTGCCAAATTACATTTATATAGGTATAATCATTAGTTTACTAATACGCCATGTGTGTGTGTGTGTAAATATATTATACTAACACCCAAGTCATCATCATCATATGTTTGTAAATATCGACACTAATATTAATAATAACGATAACAATAGTTGTAAGGGATGTATACGCATCTTTTTTTTTTTTTTGCTTATACATCGAGCTCATGGGAACAAACGAGCGAATGGAATGAGCTATAATAACGCGTCGAGCCGGGTAGGTGTAACAGTAACGAAAAATGAGCAATCGGCTTGAGCTTGCAACAATAATCCTAACTCGAACGATCAATTTAACGAAACAGACCACAAAAATAACTAAAAACGCACCGCTGCACTATCGCACGAGCCACGTATGATTTAACCGCATCACCATAATGCAAAATATGCCTGTTTACCCGCATGTACGTAGAGTAAAAGAGGGGGAGAAAACAGGGCGCATCGACTTGCTTGCACAATAGCGAAAAAAAAAAAAAAAAAAAAAAAAAAAAAAGAAGGAGGAGGAGGGATTTTTTTTAGTGAGGATGCATTATTATTATTATCATCATTATTATTATTCAAACGTTCTAATTTCTCCTAGGCAGGATGGCGAAACTTGGAAGCTAGATCCCTGCAAGTCGTGCGCATGCAAGCAGGGCAAGGTGCGCTGTGCCATGTCCATGTGTCCGCCCTTAAACACCCCCTGTCCGCCGAACTCGCGATTGGAACTGCCCGAGGGCCAATGCTGTCCACGATGCGTTGAAAGTGAGTCTTGCACATTACCTTTTTTTGTTTTTTTTTTAGTTTTTTATCCCCCCCTTCCCCCCCACCCATAAACCCGCGAGCTCGACAAAATTGTCACTTTGTCGCCCGTATGAAAAAAAATGCTGCAAAAGCACACCACCCATCATGAGAAAGAGAAAAGAACTGAAACAATAAACCACTCCCCCTGCATGAAAAAGGCGACGGGGTGTGCACCGTGTTCGGCGATCCGCATTACCGCACCTTCGACGGCAAGTTCTACACGTTCCGGGGCGCGTGCAAGTACCAATTGGCGAGCGACTGCGCCAACCACAGCTTCAGCATCCGCGTGACGAACGACGCCCGCCAGACCCGCCACTCCGCCTGGACCAAGACCATATCCCTCAAGATCGGCGGCCTCAAGGTCAACCTCGGGCAGCGCATGCGCGTCAAGGTCAATGGCCAAAGGGTCGAGGTGCCCCACCGGGTGGCCGGACTCAAGCTCGACATCAACCGCACCGAGGACACCATACTCGTCCACAGCGGCCAACTCGGGCTCAGGATACTCTGGGACGGCATAAGCTTCCTCGAGGTGACCGCACCCACGGCCTACCGGGGCAAGCTCTGCGGCCTCTGCGGCAACTTCAACTCCAACCCCAAGGACGATCTGACGAGCCGGCGCGGCCACCTGCTCACCGATCCCGTGACCTTCGGCAACTCGTGGGCCGTCGGGGCCAAGCGCGTCTGCTCGAGGATGCGAAGCCAGCACGCGCTCCACAGACGCGGATGCAAAATCAAAAAGGACCACAGGTGGGGCTCAACCTTTTCTTTTTTTCTCCTCTCTCTCTCTCTCTCTTTTCTTTCACGTTGGTATATACAATAAGTGCCGGTATATATATACATGGTGTAATGCAAACCGACGACAGGCTGTGCAACAAACTGCGCTTGGCTACGTTCGAGTCGTGCAATCGCAAGGTCAACCCGGCCATGTACTACAAGGCCTGCCTGCAGGACATGTGCGAGTGCCCGAACGAGCAGTGCTACTGTCAATCGTTCATGGCCTACGCGCACGATTGCCACCGGCTGGGGATCCAATTGCCCACGTGGCGCAAGTCGACGCGCTGTCCCACGGTCTGGGACTCGGCGTTGGCCGTCTACGCGCCCCCTTCACCGCCGTCTACGCTCGTCCTGTCGTCGACCGTCCGCCACGCGGGCCTGCACAAGACGACGCCCCCGGAGACACCGGTCACGGAGCGGAACTCGGAGGGACACCAACTACCGGCCTTCCTGGCGTCCATGACTCCGGCCCAGAGGTGCAAGCACCCCTCGGGCTAGCCGACCAACTACCCCCCCCCCACCCCACCCCCCCTGGGACTCTTCCTGTAATACAGTACAGCGCTGCGCGACTGTATGGGGGGGTATATTGCGGACGGGGCGAGGGGGACAAGGGCGCGATCTACCTACATACAATACTGTTACACCCTCGCTCGACGATCTAACTAGTCACCTGCTTGTGCACACTCGATAAGCGTTCAATGGTACTTTTCTTTTCTTTTCTTTTCTTTTTTTTTTTTTTTTTTTTTTTTTTTTTTTTTTTTTTTTTTTTTTTTTTTTTTTCTACATCTCTACGTGTGCATTTATATACAAGTATACATTTGACTTGACGATGTTTTTATTTATTATTTTTTTTTTTTTTTCTCCATTTTTATTTTTTATTTTGTCTCTCCTTCCAGCGCACCTTCCAGTATTTTTTCGGCCGGTGAGCGGGCTCTCGCGGCAAACGTTATTGCGTCTCTGCGTTGCGCATATATACCCTACTTGTAATAAATGTAATTACCCCCGCGTGTATACGGCTGCGTTTCGTGTATGATATGGGCTCACGGCTGCGATTTGCAACAATTTTTCCCGGCTTTCTTCAATCCTCATCACAGACAGAGCTGTCCTGGAGCCAAAAGGTGCATGGGCCGGCAGTAGTATGTGTATAGACGTAAAATTGCGTGGATAGCTCTGGGCACAAAAAAAAAAAAAATCTTACCCAGGGTCTTATCGCAGCATTTGTAGCTAATAAACGTGAGTCGCAATTTTTTCCTCAACGAGTTGGTTGTATAGTGAGTCGTGTGAAAATGAAAAACAATTGAGTGATCGTGTACATAATTAAATCGGCAAATTACGCGTGTTTGCTTAGCTGTTAGATTTTTTTTTTTTTTTTCCATCATCATTACTATTATTCTAATTAGTTGCTAATCACGTTACACTACGTATCTATACGTTTGTTCCACTGCGCGAGTTCGCGACAAACTCGTCACACGGGCATTTCAGGACTTGAAAACTAGCTGCTGTATAAAAATCGACAATTACATGCGTAAAATTATGAAAAACAAACAAGTAAAACAAATCTCAAAGTCATTAGTCATATAATTTTTCTGTCAAAAAGTATATGTATATGTAATTACATCATATATTAACCAATTGTCATCGTTTCGATATACTGGCGTGAATATTTATTTATTTAATCTACATGTGTTCACATGCAGCACTACCACTCCCTGTCTCGTACCATGTTCCACTGTACTGCGATCAAAAAATGTAAACTGATGCGGTAGTAGAATCCGATTCCAATTCTCGGGTATAAAAAATTTCCTATGCAACGACACTTTTGTGGTCAAGTGTATTATCTGTAATTATCGCAGGACCTGATATTGCGTGATTTTCCAATAAATCGAAAGCAATTATAATAAGGAATGGCAGATGATTATCGTGCTGTTGGCCAAGGAAGTCGCTCTTACTTTCCTATTGTCGTTGGTCAAGCGAAGATGATGCGTTAGCGCTAGGCTGCACCTTATCTCATGTGAATTTCTTCTCGCGTTTGGCCGTCGCGTCGAGTCACACGCCTTTGTCCACCGATTTCATTGTCCTATAATTTAACTTTCTTTGGTTCTTTGTGCGAAAAATCAATATAGGTGACCGAAAACGAAAGTTGTACATACATATAGGCTGACTAAAATAACATTATAAAGAAAATTATACAAATATATATATATATATTTTTTCATGTTACATAAGTTATTCAAGTGAATTGTCGATGTATAAGTTGTATAAGTGCAGCGAAAATCCATTGTGTATATGTGTGTACTATACGCGTGTTTTGTCCTTAATTTTTTTTGTAATTTACGTATTAAAATAAACAAAAATCAAGTATAAGTATATGTATGCGTAACAATGTGTTTTGTGTCTATATTTTTTTTTTTTTTTCCTATTTTTTAAACTCATGACAATAAATTTATTTTCATGAGACGAACGAATCAATGATTGATTTTTAATATACAGAACAGGCTAGCGAGCATTTGTGTAAAAATAGAGCAAATAAAAAAAAATTATGAAACAGGTAATAAAGATATTCGATCATTACCACCTCTGTACTTTATTAAATGTATTCTTTCATTAGAAAAAAATTTTTCACATCATTCAAATGACAGTATTTCACTTAAAAAAGTGACCATCAAGGATACGAGAACCTCAAGTACATTAACCAACATCCGTATACGTATTAGTCTCGCATCACCAAGACTTTTTACTAATTAAAATTTATTGAAAGCACTGGTACCTAATTCTACGTTATTACATGATTATTTTTCTTTTGACCTATTGTTCAATCAACAGATAAATTAAATTAGAGAAAAAGGAAAAATAAATGTACTAACAGTAATCAGTATGATTTTTGAAAAATATTTTAAAAATATATTTGACTGTAAATTGTTAGCTTCAGAATAACGTTTCGCTGGGCATTTGAAAGCAAATTCAGGGGATGGCACTTGATTTTTTCTTTATGGATAGCTCGACTTTTTACTATGATTTAATAAATTCACAAGACAAAATTAAAAATATGCGTGTGCTACGCAGAAAGTTTTTATATCGTTTATCAATTTGGTAGGGGGCGTATTTTTTTACGTTTTTTGTTTGTATAAAGCTCATCGTAAGGGAATTAGAGATATTTTATATCTCGGAGCTTTTTTCCTCGCGAGAATAGTGATGAGTTCTTCTTCTTGATTCGATGTTGTTTACTACCAAAGACGTGCGGTCTTTGACTCTTCGCGAACCAGAGACGGAGAAGCTGTTAAGATAATATTATTGCAGATACGCACAACATGAGGGTGTGTAGTATATATGATTCTTCTCTGTGAAGTGTTGAGAAAATAATACTAAAGATTCACGGCAGAAGAGTTTAGATCATTTTGCTGTTTTTACTCCTGTGAGATTAATTTTGTTATTTAACAAGTACAATATCGAGGGGTACGTGGGTTATAGAGTGACAAATTATTTTTTCATTTTTTTTATTTAATTTATTATTGATTTTGTATGATTTTCATCCAATTTTGTTTGATTTTTGGCATCTTGAGAGAGTAAGTATTCATTTTCTTATCAGTACGTTTTTTTTTTTTTTTTTTTTTTTTTTTTTTTTTTTTTTTTTTTTTTTTTTTTTTTTTTNGAGAAGTTGTAAAAGCCTGCGTTGAAGAGCAAAATATTTTATTAATATTACTATAAATTATTTTCACAAATGTTTTTTATAATTTGCCTTAAGCGATCATACTACTATTAATTGTAATTTCAATCGATGGATGGTTATTAAAAGGGCCAATGTATTTTTTTTTCTTTGAAATACGTAATTATACTTATTGGCAGTAATAAATTTATTGGAAAAGTATCACTCATAATTACATTTATTTTAACATGTACGAGTAAACGGATCGATTAAAATTAATTACTAAAAATGTACGTAAATTAACTTTAAATAACTGATCTTCGATTGAAATTGCACGTTCTACGTATAAGGTATTGAAAGCTATATTATTTACGAGAAGAAAAAGACGACAAGAGAATTTTAATCTCCTGTCTCATCTTCGAAAGTGTCACAGCACCATGAGACGATTTGGTCAACTTTTTAGTTGTGTTATATTTTTCTTTTTTTTTTTTTTGTTTTTCTTTTAATTACAGATGATACACGTATTTATGGTACGTTTGAAAAATAATAAATATAGTGTTGAATTTTGACATTAAGAGAGTACAATACATGTGATATGTACTATCGCTGTAATATTCCAAGGAAAAAACTACGTCGATCACTCAATGTGAATTAAAAATATCGAATGTACACTCAGTGCTATAATCTGACTAATTTATGCACTGGAAGACTGATGAGTATCTAATATATTTTTTCATACGTTTTATTACTCCTGAATAATACTATACGCAGAAACAAGAGATACATCGCAGGAATAGAGTAGCGCATGGATTAAACAACATCAGCTGCTGTTACCGTCGTGGATTATGAAAATAAATAAATAAATTATAATTGTCTTAAAAACACCTTTTTTTTTATTCACGATAATGTATTCAGTTCGACGAATTCTAGGAAAACATTGTAAGTTAACCAGTACGGTATTTTTATAAAAATTTCAGTGCTGAGGAATCAAAAAGTTTTTCATCATAATTCTCCTATACTAAACCTTAATCTTTCTACCGTAAACTTTTTAACCATAATGAATACTCAGAAATATGTAATGGACACTGATCTACTAACTATCCAATGAGTATTTCGACTGTTATCGCATATTTCAAAAAAAAGAGCTACAGAAGACTTGGCTTATTCCAAATTCTGACTTTTTTTTTTTTATACATGATTTTGTTATTTTCTAATTTTGTCACATGGATGTCAATGATACCAAGTTAATATTCTGTTGAAACAAGATATTAGTTTTACTTTAGGAATATTTTCTTCTTTAAAATAAATATTTTCATAATATAAGAAAATATAATTTTTGCTCAAGAGATTATTGGGTCTCATAAATTTTTTTTCCGTGTGTATTCGTAAATACATCAAGTTAAAAGTTTCAATACATTCAGGCATAACAGTTGCTAGTTTGAAATTAATTTTATTTTTAGCATTTTTCACGTGGCGTAAGATACAAAATTTGTACATTTTAAAAGACTTTTCTTCGAAAAACACCGATAATTCGTTAGAAAATTGTGTAAGAGTTGAATATCAAATCTAAAGTATTTTTAATTTCTAAATAGTTATTTTACAACGTACGTGTTACATATAAATTCATACAAAATAATGTACACCATATATAATAATAATATATAATGTTAGTTAGGGTATGTTTTTCAGGTTGAATGAGACACGTTCATTGGGTTCATCAAATAAAGTAAAACCACGTCCAGAAATGAGATTATTATCATGTGTTGTAAATTAAATACACATTATGAAAAGATAATTCATACAAGAGCGAGATTCATTAAAATCAATGGAATATATACTTATTTGGAACAAACAAAGTATTTTGTAGCCCTGACAAAAAAAATCTGTGAGTAAAGATGTATATCCTATATTCATATATTATCCATTTAAAATTTTTGTCTCAGCATATGTCTTTTTGACTTCTCTCTATAGGATTTATCGATTACTAATTCTTTTTTTCTTTTTTCTTTATTAAAAGTCACATGTATATTCACAAAAATCGAAGATGACTAGATGTATTTTTATTATATATGTATATGTAATTATAAACTCGATCTCTAAAGATATAAACTTTTCAATGATAACAACATAACTTTAGCTTCAGAATAACGTTTCGCTGGGCATTTGAAAGCAAATTCAGGGGATGGCACTTGATTTTTTCTTTATGGATAGCTCGACTTTTTACTATGATTTAATAAATTCACAAGACAAAATTAAAAATATGCGTGTGCTACGCAGAAAGTTTTTATATCGTTTATCAATTTGGTAGGGGGCGTATTTTTTTACGTTTTTTGTTTGTATAAAGCTCATCGTAAGGGAATTAGAGATATTTTATATCTCGGAGCTTTTTTCCTCGCGAGAATAGTGATGAGTTCTTCTTCTTGATTCGATGTTGTTTACTACCAAAGACGTGCGGTCTTTGACTCTTCGCGAACCAGAGACGGAGAAGCTGTTAAGATAATATTATTGCAGATACGCACAACATGAGGGTGTGTAGTATATATGATTCTTCTCTGTGAAGTGTTGAGAAAATAATACTAAAGATTCACGGCAGAAGAGTTTAGATCATTTTGCTGTTTTTACTCCTGTGAGATTAATTTTGTTATTTAACAAGTACAATATCGAGGGGTACGTGGGTTATAGAGTGACAAATTATTTTTTCATTTTTTTTATTTAATTTATTATTGATTTTGTATGATTTTCATCCAATTTTGTTTGATTTTTGGCATCTTGAGAGAGTAAGTATTCATTTTCTTATCAGTACGTTTTTTTTTTTTTTTTTTTTTTTTTTTTTTTTTTTTTTTTTTTTTTTTTTTTTTTTTT